CATCTAACCTCTGTTTACCTCTGAGAAAAGAACAGACTTTTGTATTTTCAAAATTACTTCTTACAGACCGTGTTTTTGTTTCAGTGAAAGCAAGGGCCTAGAACTGTATTTACTTGTGTTTTTTGTTTCTTTGTTTTTTAAGAGAGATTTTTGCTATAAGGCATGCCTACTTGCTGGTGAGACAGAGTGACAGAAAGCGAGAAATCACTCCCCAGGGAGGATGGCCATGCCACAATCCTTCCTCCTCCATTCTCCTCTTGGAGATTTTGGGCACACATGCATACGTGCTTGGTGTAAATTTTAAGCCAATGGGGTCTGGGACTCAAACTGCAGTCGACTATGTGGGAGTCCAGCAATGTAACCATTATGCCATCTGCTGGTCCCTTACCAGCAGATCTTTATCCTCCATTTCTAGGAATGTGTAACTGAATGGTTCTTTGCTTCCACTACTGAGTAAGGGAAAATGGAGTGTGACAAGAACATGAATAATTCAAATATAGTTGGGGTTTGTGGATCTTAAAACTTCTGGAGAAGAAATACAATCTTGTAAATTTGATTCTGCTGTACTGTATTGAATTCATTCTAGGGGTAACTTTTTAAATGTTTCAGAATTCCAGCCCCAAGTGATAGTTTTTTACTTAGTTATGGGTGGGCTAAGTGTAATGCCACATGATGCTGACCAGACTAGAATCTTGCTATGTATTAACATTGCTTGTCAATAAGATTTGAGAAGAAAATAATAACAGCCTACATTCATAAAGGCTGAGCTGTTGCTGTGTTGCTTAATTCCATTTGTCTTAATTCTTAGTCATCTTTATTGCTCTTTCAAGGAATTATCAGATGTGATGTATTTGAGAATGATACAGTAGCAAACTCTCCCAAATACAAAGTTTGGTAGTGTTTTGCTTAATTTTCTGTACTATTTGGTGTGGGACAATGTCAACTTCCTGATTTTTGAGAAATAGAAGAACTGGGACAGACTACTTTCTTAGACACCCCTGTGCTTCTAAATTTTAAATAGTCTCAGGGGACCAGTAACCCTGTGCTTCTACAAACTTAAAACAAATTGTCCCCTTGGGAACAATATGTTTCATCTGACAATATGGCCAGGCAGAAGGATTCCCTGCTGTCTCTACTATTAACTCCACCCATATGAGTAAAGCACATGCATCTCCAGGCCTAAGGAAGAGGAAAGCCCTGTGTTTCTAGCCTTTTGTTTGTTTGTTTGTTTGTTTTAGCAGCTAGAAGCCTGTTTCATAAAAACTGGTATACATCTAGCCTAATTGAGTTTAACTTCATATTTCTTGCTATTTCAACATTAGCCCAAAGAAACATTTCTTCTCATCTCTCCCCTTTTTAGTGTCTGTGCCAATTAACTTGTATTACTGCTGAGAACATTTGCTAGTTGTTTTATTTTCCAATAAGAATTATAGTGCTGTCTATAGGCGTTACAGGAGTGTGGATATCCAATGTATTTGAGAAAATGTGTGTACACTGATAGTAAAAAAATTGAATTTTGTCTTTTTTTATTTTACAAACTTAGTTTTTTGTGTGTGTTAATAGAGCTTTTTGCTATAGGACACTTGTGCTTGTTGGAGAGACAGAGAGAGACAGAAGGTAAGAAATCATCCCTCCAGAGATGATAGCCACACCGCAATTCCTTCTTCTCTTGGGAATTTGGGCACACATGCACACCAGCCCATCATGAGTTTCAAGCTGCCAGATCCAGACTTGAACCACGGTCAGCCACATGAAAGTCCAGCTCCTTAACCTCTACACCACCCACTGGCCCTATAAACACAATATTTAAATTACAGGTAAAGATTTGATGTATCCATTTTGAACATAGGGAATATTGACAAGAATCCCTAGCTCCCTGACCTCTGTTCTCCTGGGGAGATTTAAGTTGTTTATTTCATTGACCCAGTTCTCTTTCTTTTGTACCCAGAAGTTTTTTTTGTTTTTTGTTTTTGTTTTTTTTTAACTTTGTCAGAGGACATATGCAATCACCAGAGAGAGAAAGGGAAAGGAAAGTATTCCCCCAATGAGGCACAATCACACCACAATCCCTTCTCCATTTCTCCACTCTGTTGGGATTTCGGGTATGCACACGCATGTGCCCAGCTTGTTTCTTAAACTGCTTGAGCTGGGACTTGAACCATGCAGTTGATAAGCTGAGATTCAGCTCTCTTAACAACCAGGCCATGGATCTGGCCTCAAGTGTTTTCCTTTTTTTTTTTTTTAAATTTAAATAATTATTTTATTTAACTTTATTTATTTATTTAAAATTTCCCAGAGCGGGACAGAGAGAGAAAGGGAAAGGAAAGTATTCCCCCAATGAGGCACAATCACACCACAATCCCTTCTCCATTTCTCCACTCTGTTGGGATTTCGGGTATGCACACGCATGTGCCCAGCTTGTTTCTTAAACTGCTTGAGCTGGGACTTGAACCATGCAGTTGATAAGCTGAGATTCAGCTCTCTTAACAACCAGGCCATGGATCTGGCCTTAAGTGTTTTTTTTTTTTTTTTTTTTAAATTTAAATAATTATTTTATTTAACTTTATTTATTTATTTAAAATTTACCAGAGAGGGACAGAGAATCAGAGAAAGAAAGTGAGAAAGCAAGCCATCAGGTCCAGGACTCAAACCACGGTTGACCACGTGGGAATCCAATGCCCTTAACCACCATGCTAACTGCTGGCCATTTTTTCCTTTAAAAAACAAATGAACAAACAGTTTTTTGTTTTTGTTTTTTTTCTTGAGAAGTTTTCACTATAGGGCGCGTGTGCTCACCAGACAGACAGAGAGAGACAGAGAAACAGAAAGCAAGAAATCACCCCCCCCCCGGGGGGGATGGCCACGCTGCAATCCCTTCTCCTCCATTCTCCTCCCGGGATCTTGGGCACACATGCACATGCGCCCAGCGTGAGTTTAAGCCACTGGGTCCGGGACTTGAACTGTGGTCGACTACATAGGAGTCCAGCGACATAGTCATTATGCTAACTGCTGGTCCCTACAATAGTATTTTTTAAGGTGGGGGATAATTCTCACCTACTAATCCATGATGAGAGGTGATGAGGAAAAATGATTGCTAATCCTTTACAGTCATTTTGCACCTTATGATTTCCAAAATACTTTCTCTAGTATTTTTTCTTGACAGCAAATGTGGCTCCCATTAAATGTAATTAATTTTTAAAAAGAATTATTTAATTTTATTCATTATTGTTATTTTAAAAATAATTATTTATTTAATTGTATTTATTTATTATTATTATTTAATTTGACCAGAGAGAGCGAGAAGGAAAGTGAGAAAGCAGGCCACCAGGGCCAGGACTTGAACCACAGTCGGCCATGTTGGAGTCTAGCACTTTAATCAGCATGCCAGCTGCCAGCTACATTATTATTTTTTTAATTTTACCAGAGAGAAAAAGAAAGGAAAGTGAGAAACCAAGCTGCCAGGTCTGAAACTCTAACCGTGGTCAGCCACATGGGAGTCAGTGCCATAACCACTACACCATCTGCTAGCCCCTAATTAATTAATTTTTTAGACCTTTGCCAGAGTATGTGAACTCATTGGAGATAGAGAGAGAGAAATAAATCACACCCCAGAAGGAATGACCACACCACAGTCCCTTCTCCACTCTTCTCTTAGAATTTTGGGCACATGTGCACACACCTGGCGTGATTTTCCCTTCCTTCCTTCCTCCCTTCCTTCCTTCCTTCCTTCCTTTTTTTATAGGCGTGTGCGCTCGCCAGAAAAACAGAGAAAGATGGAAAGACAGAAGGTGGGAAATCACCCCCCAGGGGAATGGGCATGCCACAATCCATTCTCCTCCTTTCTCCTCTCGGGATCTTGGGCACGCGCACACACACACACACACACCCAGCGTGTTTCAAGCCTTTGGGTCCAGGACTCGAACTATGTTTCACTATGTGGGAGTCCAGTGACGTAACCTTTAGTCCCCTGGTGTGATTTTCAAGCTGTTGGCTCAAACTGCTGTAGGCCATGTGGGATTCCAGCGCCCTAACCACCACGCCACCTTCTGGCCCCTATTTTGTTTTAGTTTCTAAAATTTGCTATAGAGCATGTGTGCTATATATAAAGAGAAAGAAAGTGATAAAGCACCCCACTGGGGGATGACCACACTGCAATCCCTTCTCCATTCTCCTCTTGGTATTTTGAGCATGCATGCGCATGCACCTGGTGTGTTTTTCAAGCCGTAGGGTCTGGGATTTGGCAGGCGGCTATTTGGGATCCAGTAGCCTTAACCACTGTACCACTTGCCTATCCTGGTTCCCATTTTATAGATGAAGGAATGAACTCAGAGGAGCTTGCCTAAGGTTTCAGGTACTGAAATTTAGGACTTCTGTGCTGGTCTATTATGCTTCCAGTAGCACCTCAAAAATGACTAATGATGTGTGTCTTTGGTATCAAGTTTAGATAAAATGATAGATATAAGCAGCTTTTTCTTAGAAGAGAGGTAACTGGTAGGGATGTCTCAGTATTAGCTGTATTCCACAGAATATAAGATGACCTTGAAATGTATAGTGATTGCTGATTTGTTTTCATGTGGCTTCCAAGGAATTCTAGAGATTGTTCTAGTCCTTACAGTAGACTAACTGATGTGCTTTTCAACATACTGTAGTTGTTGTCTTTCTGAAAACAAATACTCAGGATCCTAGATTTACATCTTGGAACTTAGTTTAATTTTTAGAGTCCTTTCAGGAACCCTTACCTGTCGTTCTGAGAAACATTCTTTTTGGACATAAGGGTGGGGTTTTAGCAGTGATTATCTGTCATTGCCCACATCATATGGTCAGGAAGGCTATCATTCCAGGTAATCTGAACTGAATGATTGGGATGAAACTTTACCAAAGTGAATCATGTTTATGGTTGTCCAAAGCAAATCACAGTTAAATTTTTTTTCAATAATGAATCTATTTTTGCATCATTATTAATTATTACCTATCAATGTAAGTAATTTGTTTCATTTTAGTGATGTCCTTGCATTGCCCATTTTTAAGCAAGAAGAGTCAAATTTGCCTCCAGATAATGAGAATAAAATCCTACCTTTTCAATATGTGCTTTGTGCTGCCACCTCTCCAGCAGTGAAACTCCATGATGAAACCCTGACGTATCTAAATCAAGGTGAGATACTTCCTTGATCATCATTATTATTCAGACCTGCTAGATTCGTGACGTTTTACTGGGTTTACTTGTATGTGAAAAGTTAGATCTTTCTGGTGTGACCTGTCAGACTGTTAATAGAAAGCTTATTACTTCAGCAATTTGAGTTTTAATGTCATATTTAATAGATATTACTTGTGTATTTTGTCTAACTGCCCATTTTTAGTTCCTAGCTCCTCTTTCTAATCCATGTTCCCTGGATGTGTCTTTGATTACTATCTAAGAAATGTACACATTCAACTGTGTTTTTTCCAGTTATGTTTGTGTGATAAAGTTGCTTGAACTATTTTTCAATTATTTATTTAACTTTATTTCTTTACTTACTTATTATTATTATTAATATTTTTAATTTGACCAAAGAGAGACAGGGCAAGAAGAGTGAGAAAGCAAGTCCCTAGGACGAGGACTTAAACTGTGGTCAGCCATGTGGGAGTCTAAAACCTTAACCACATGCCACCTGCTGGCCCCATTACTTGAATTCCTTAAGTTTCAATTTCTTATCTGTAAAAATAGAATTGATGATACCTTCTAGAATTGTATTAATTAAATGAGATAGTGTATAAAAGTACTTAGAACAGTGCCTAACATCTAATAGAGGCATATGGTTGTTGTAGTTGCTGATATATTATTACATTCTTGTGTATTCAATTAATTGAATAAATCACATTATTTTTTTAATCTAACAAAGTTAATTTGTGGTGAATAAAATGTATAATTACTTTTTTTCTAGGACAGTCTTATGAAATCCGAATGCTAGACAACAGGAAACTTGGAGAACTTCCAGAAATTAATGGAAAATTGGTGAAGGTAAAAGAAAACAAGTAAACATTCTTCTACATAATATCCTTTTTACAGACTTACTTTAGATTTTTTTTTTTTTTTTTTTTTTTTTTTGCTATTATTCTTTTGCCTCCAGAAAGGGCTTGATGGTGTATCTCTTACCTGCCACAATTTGTTGTCAGAATAGTAAACAGATATATTATTTTGTTGGAATCAGAATAAGCCCCTACCACTCACATAGAATTTTCAGAGCTGCAAAAACAGAAGCCTCCACTTTGTGCCCTGGTTCAATGAACTCCTTGGAATATAGAAAGTAACCTCCTTGAGATCTTTAGAGATGCTTCAGTGTCTGGATAGATGGTTTTGTAGCAAGGAAAACCAAAGCTACTGTTGATAAATAGCACTTCTCTCAATCTAGATGGACAGTAAGGATTCTAAGAATTCAAGGAACAATTGGGACAAAGAAGTTTTGTCAGCAGGGGTACAAGGTGGTAGGATGGATTAATAAGCACCTCTACAAAAGGGAATTTGATGGAAATTGACCCTGCCTACCCTCAGTGTTTGCAGGCTGTATGGTGACTTAATAAACAGAGGACTTGGTGAGTTTTTTATATATATCTGAAGAGCCGAGCCAGATATTACATAGTATAACAGTAGAGCCATGTAAGAGTACTTCAGCTAGGTGTCCTTTATACCTAGTTACCATTAAAACTGATGTTTAAACCATTAGACTGGTATATTTATTTTTATTATTAGTTTTTTAATAATACAGAGTATAGGCACATGTGTGAGAGAGAAGCACCCTCTACAGGGTATTGTCTTGTTGTTGGCCCCCTTCTCCAGCCCTCCCAACTCTTCAGGATCTTGGATATCCATGCACATGACATTATGTTTTCAGGCCAACCTGGGGATCTAAACTCACAGTGGGGGATCTAAACTTGAGATCAGCCAAATGAATTCCAGCACTGCAGTCCAGTATGCTTTGGGCTGTAACACATAAAGATGATATCTGATAAATTTTAAAATTTATCCTGAAATAGAGGTTGATATGGTATGGGTTTTAGAATAATACAGGTTTTAAGAAAAATAATCCTGGATTGTATCTAGAAACCAACTGGAGATGATCCCTGCTAGTTTTCTTCGGCAGCAGTGATTTTCAGGAGGCCCTATTATCATTCAATTTTGTTATTTCATTTTAGAGTATATTCCGTGTAGTGTTCCATGACAGAAGGCTACAGTATACTGAACATCAGCAACTGGAGGGCTGGAGGTGGAACCGACCTGGAGATAGAATTCTTGACATAGGTGAGATAAGAGAATCTATAGCCCAGAAAGTGCCTTTAACTATGAACTGAGGTTGGTTTTCTTTATTTGACACTTACCTTGATTCAGATGCTTCAGAGGCTCAATAAATATAAACCTTAAAGTGGTTATTTATTGAGCATAAAAAATTACAAATGATAGTATCAAAATTGAAAGTAGACCCAGCTCTAGTGGTGCAAGCAATATATGATGGCTGAGACCACATGAGGGGCCCAGAGTTATTTCTCAGCCCAACCGAATTCAGACCACACATGGTAGCACATGCCTAGGGTCTTAGCTAACTGGGACACTAGAGCAGGAAGAATCATGAAGTGGTCAGATCCTGCCAGAAATACCTATATCTCTTTCTTCCACCCCCTGGTGCACACGCATGTACTCTCTTGCTTCCTCTCTCATTAAAAAAAAAAATAATAAATAAATAAATTGATGGGACTAGCAGTTAGCATAATGGCTATGTTGCTGGACTCCCACATAATCGACCGCGGTTCGCGTCCCGGACCCGGTGGCTTAAAACTCGCACTGGGTCCATCTGTGTGCATGTCCAAGATCCCGAGAGGAGAATGGAGGAGTAGGGATTACGGCGTGGCCATCCCCTCTGAGGGGTGATTTCTTGCTTTCTATCTCTCTGTCTCTCTCTGTCTGGCAAGCGCATGTGTACTATAGCAAAAACCTCTAAAAAAAAAAAAATTGAGATTGGAAGTGTAAATACTTCAGTTCCATAGCAGTTTCACCTATTACTTCAGGGTGAGTTTTTTGGTTTGTCTGCCTTTTTTTTTTTTTTTAAGAGAGATTTTTGCTATAGGGTTCATGTGCTCACCAGAGACACAGTGAGAGAGAAAGTGAGGGAGAGATGGCCACACCACAATCTCATCTTTTCTCAGGATTTTGTGTATGCATGTACACATGCCTGGTTTGACTTTCAAGCCACCAGGTTCAGAACTCAAACTGTGGGCAGCTCTGTGGGAGTCTAGCTCCTTAGTCACTATGCCACTTGTCGGCCCCTGTTTTTTTTTTTTTTTTGTAATAGCCATCCAAATGAATGTGAAGTGGTGTTTCATTGTGGTTTTGATTTGCATTTCCCTGATGGTTAGTGTTGTTGGGCATCTTTTCATATGCTTATTGGACTTTCATATATCTTTGGAGAAATATCTGTGCAAGGCTTTTACCTATTTTTGAATCATGTTGGTTTTTCTTGTTGAATTATAGGAATTCTTTATATATTCTGGATATTAGCTCCATATCAGATATGTGATATGCACATATTTTCCCCACTCTATGGGTTACCTTTTCACTATGTTGATAATGTCCTTTAAATAACAAAAGTTTTAAATTTCAAGACAATTCAATTGACCTATTTTTTAAATGACCTGTGCTTTTGGTGTAATATCAAAAAATCATTGCCAAATCCAAGAGTTTTATAGTTCCTGGTCTTACATTCAGACTTATGAATCCATTTTGAGTTAATTTTTGTATATGGTGCAAGATAAGGTTCCAACTTTATTCTATTGCCTGTGGATGTTCAGTTTTCCTAGCACCATTGGTTGAAATGTCTTCTTTTCCCCACTGAATGGTCTTGGCATCCCTGTTGAAATTCATTTGCGGGCCAGCCCTGTGGCATGGTGGTTAAGGGAGCTAGGTTCCACAAGGTTGGCTATGTTTGAGTCCCAGCCCTAGTAGTTTGGTTAACATACTGGGCACATGTGCATGCATGCTGCAAATCCCAACATGATGGAGAAATGGAGGAGAAGGAACTGCAGCATGACTGTGTCCCACTGGGAGGTGCTTTCTCCCTCTCTTGTTTTGTCTCGCTATCTCTCTGGCGAATGCACACACTCTTTGGCAATTAAAAAAATTAGAAATTCCTTTGATCTTGTATCGGGGACTTCAAAACAGTTGTGAAAAAAATGGAATTAAAATAATGAGTTTATTTTAGTGCAATTTTTTTCAAAATCTATGCATAAATTTTTTCATAATTTACATTTTCCATGAAGTCTTTTAAGACCTTCCTCATTTTTGATGATTTATTTCCAGACTATTCTCTTTTTTTTAAATAAACACTTTTTTTTTTTTGAAAGACATTTTTTTGGGGGGCCATCTTATAACCTGATGGTTAAGGCAGCCAATCCAACATGGCCAATTGTGTAGTTCGAATACCAGACCTGGTAGCTTGAGAAACACACCCAGTATGTGCACATGCATACCTAAAATCCAGAAAGAAAGGAGAAATGGAGGAGATAGGATTGCACTGTGACCATTCCATAAGAAATGCTTTCTCACTTTCCTTCTCTGTCAGTCTCTGGTGAGTGTACGTGCCTCTAGTAAATTAAAAACAATTTTTTTTTTACATTTATTAATTTCTTTTGTGAGAGACAGAGAAAGAAATAGCACCTCCATCAGAATCTTGACACTGTGATCTATCCCCAGCCTTCAGCCAGCCTTGAATCATATGCATGCCTGGTGTGTTCAGGAAAGCCTTTCGACCTGAATTGAGAACCTTTCCATGGGGGAGTGCCTTGATTGCCTCCAGGTGTGGTGTTTTACTGCTCTGCTCTGCCACCATCTGACCCTGTGTCCCTTTTCTATGCTATTTGTCTCTATGCTGTCTTTATGTCTATACCACATTGTTCTGATAACTGTAGCATTGTATCAAGTTTTGAAATCAAGAAGCATGAGGCCTCCATGTGTGTTCCTTTCCAAGATTATTTTGACTTTTCGGGGGGGGGCAGGTTTTTTCCTCAATAAGCTTATAGTTATTTTCTTTCTTTATTTATTTTTGCCATAGGACTTGTGCACTTGCTGGTGAGAGACAGAGAGAGACAGTGAAAGGCAAGGTGAGAAATCACTCCTCCCCCACACCCCGTATACCACAATTCCTTCTCTATTCTTCTTCCGGAATTCTGGGCACATGTGTACATATGCCTGGCACGAGTTTTAAGCTGCCAGATGCAGAATTTGAACCACAGTTGGCCATGTGGGAGTCTAGCACTTGAACCACCAACACCACCTGCTAGCCCCAAGCTGACAGTCCTTTTATGTTACTAATGCCTGAGGAGCACATTAATGGTATGTTTCACCTAAAGTGAAAGTTCTGAGAGTATAATCTATGTCTCTTGGTTTGCAGTTTAGATTGATTTGCTACATAGATTAGAATTTGGTTTTTATTAAATCATGGTATAAGGGAAGTATCTTCAGAAATACACAAGCAATCTTTTTCTAAATGTACTTTTAAGCCCAGCATCTGGATCTTTCTTCTTTGATTAGTGAATATCTTCTATTGTAAATTTAGTTGTTAAATGAATTTAAATCCTATTGTACTAATTCTACCTGAAAATACACTGATTTTTATAGAGGTATTCTGGTATTTATATGATAAACTTATCTTAGAATGAGTTCAACACAACTACTATGGAGTAGTAACCCATTAATGCTTTCTTGTTTGTACCATCGATACCAAAACAAGTAGTATAGTTACAGACTGTTATGATAATAAATAATGTCATCTGGCCTTATCATCCCAGTTTGAATATTAGTAAGAGAAATCAGGGAATGATATTTGAGTATTTGCTCTGTAGAATGGAAAGCAAAATTCTACTAAAACTCATTAATTTTGCTTCTCTCTTAAGTATAAGGTTTGTCACTGTGTTATAGAATCAGTTGATGACTGGGACCAGTAGTTAGCACAATGGCTATGTTGCTGGACTCCCACATAGTCGACCGTGGTTCAAGTCCTGGACTCAGCAACTTAAACTCACGCCAGGTGCGTGTGCGTGTGTGCCCAAGATCCCGAGAGGAGAATGGAGGAGAAAGGATTGCAGCGTGGCCATCTCCCCTGGGGGTGATTTCTTGCTTTCTGTCTCTCTGTCTCTCTAGCGAGGGCACGCGCCCTATAGCAAAAATCTCTCCCCACCCCCCCAACAAAAAGAGTCAGTTGATGACTTAGTAAATCAGCATTGATCTTTTATTAAATGTTTCCCACTTCTATCTGTGATACAAATACTTTCTGCCTTTATATTGACACCTGCTTCATCCTTCTATAGTAGTCCTAATGTGCTTCTAGCAATAACACTATCCTTAAAACTATAGGTGAAGCAGATTATAAATAGAGCTTGTGTGTAGACATATCCATCTTTAGAGCTAGTATATAAACTTAACTCATCTTTAAGTAAAAATTCTGGCAAATTAAAAGAAAACGGCATTTAAATTGCCTTAATTATTATTATTTTAAATTTTGCAGAGGGTGTACATGTTCACTGGAGACAGAGAGAGAGAGAAAGTGAGGAAGAATCCACCCGCATAGGACATGGTCACACTGTAATACTTTCTCCTCCTTTTCTCCTTAGGAATTTCGGATGTGCACACACATTTGCCCAGCATGTTCTTCAAGCTGCTGGGTCCAGGACTCAAACCATACAGTTAACCATGTGGTATTCAGTGCCTTAACTGCCATGGCATAGATGGGCCCATAAATTACCTTATTTTAAAAATGTTTTAATATGGAGAAAGGTACTCACAGGAAAATCATGTAAGTCAATTTTAACCATAAACCCTTTTCATTAGCAAAAAAGAAGTTTAGGATGTGGTACACAAAACTTAGTAACTAGGGATGAATAGTATAAGAATCAGTGCTTTCCTATTTAAAAGCGAGTAACCCTCTGACTCATTCAATCATTACCATTTTGTTTCTCAGATATCCCAATGTCTGTGGGTATAATTGATCCTAGGGCTAATCCAACCCAACTAAATACAGTGGAGTTCTTGTGGGACCCTGCAAAGAGGACATCTGTGTTTATTCAGGTAAGGAATTGCAATGAAGGTCTAGTTATAAAGAAAATCTCTTACTACAAGTTTGGTTATTAAAGGATAAACTTGTTAAATTTGAAGTCTTTGTAGGGTTCTAACCTGATGGCCAAGTCTAGATTCCTCCACTTATGCCTGAGAATATTGAGGAATTTCTGAATTGATCTAATTATCCCAATTTATTTATTTATATCTCCCCAAAATACTTGCTTATGGCTGCATGGTATACCATTCTTTTAACTTTACCATAACTTACCTAACAGTTATTTATATTTAGACTGCCCTAATTTTTCACGATTACCTATGAAGTTATTTTGAACATCTTTATATTTAAAGTTTGATTTGCATATCTTTTTATTTATGTTGGGTACATTCCTTGAAAATCTTTATTTGTAATAATGATAGCTCATAGTTTATTGAGTTCTTAACATGAGATAGTCACTGTGTTAAGTAAACACTTTGTATACATGACTTTAGGATTTAGAACAGTAATTTTGTGGAATAAGGATAGCCTTTAAGGTTTAGAGCAGTTAAATAACTTACACAAGCTAACGAATGAATGTTCAATCAGACAAGGATCCACTATTAAGATTCACCAGTCTTGGATTTTACGAAGTAGCCATACAAACCTTTATTCCACTGTTGCCATGAGCTTTCACAGTTAATATTTTCCCAGTGTGAATGTGATGATAGCTCCTCTTTCTTTTCTTTCCTTATATTAAAAAAATGTGCCAGCAGGCATATGCTTGTATGTGCATATACCCCCCAGGGGATAGTCACACCACAATCCCCTCTCCTCCATTTCTCCCTCTTTTTGGGATTTCAGTGAAACATGTACACATTCATGGGCCGTGTTTCTCAAGTCTCTAGTCCAGTCAGCCATGTGGGATCGATCCAGCTACCTTAACCACTAGGCCTTGGGTTGGTCCAATAGTACTGCCTCTTACTAAGTCTACCTCAAAGTTAAGTAAATGTTTACTGACAGAAATTTTTTCTTTTTTGTTAACTATAATCTCTGAAGCAAATAATGAATTTAGTCCTTCACGCTAGTTTTTTTTTCAAAAAAATATTTATTATTATTATTTTATTTTTATTATTTTTAATTTGACTAGAGAGAGAGAAAAAAAAAAAAAAAAAAGGAAAGTAAGAAAGCAAGCCTCCAGGTCTGAGACTCAAACCATGGTTGACCATGTGAGAGTCCAGTGCCTCAACCACAGCACCATCACTAGCTTTCGTTAGCATTAGATACATACATTTACTTGGTTTGCATTTGTAAATCATTTGTGTTTTTCTCATTTCCTTCCTTAGACTGTAAGTTCTTCAGGTTCAAAAAGAGGCCTGGCTACTGCGGCTTATACTGCTTGGATGCTGTGCTCCATAGGGCAGGACCACATTGGAGGCCTGGGTCCCCTTCTTGGGCCAACCTAAAAGTTGGATGCGGTGGCATATGCCTGTAATCTCAGAAACTCAGGGAGGCTGAGGAAGGAGGATTGGGAGTTGAAGACTGGCCTGGGCAACATAGCAAGGCCCTGTCTAAGAAGCCAGATGTGGTGGCATGTGCCTGTAGTCCCAGCTGGGAGGCTAAGGCAGGAGGATCACGATAGCAAAACCCTGTTTTGTTTTTGTTTTTTTTTTTTAAGACAGATTTTTGCTATAGGGTGTATGTGTTCATCAGAGAGACAGAGAGAGACAGAGTCAGAAAGTGAGTAATCACCGCCCTGCCCCGGGGAGATGGCCACAGCGCAATCCCTTCTCCTCCATTCTCCTCTTGGGATTTTGGACAGGCACGCACACACACCAGGTGTGAGTTTAAAGTCACTGGATCCAGGACTTGAACCATAGTTGACTACGTGGGAGTCTAGTGATGTCCATTATGATGCCATCTGCTGGTCCCCAAACCCTTGTTTTTTATTTATTTATTTTTTTGGTTGGTGTTGTTAGGTTTTTGCTATAGGGCACATACATGCACCAGAGACAGAGACAGACAGAGAGAAGGAAAATGAGAATTCACCCACCAGGGTGGATGGCCATGCTGCAATCCTACTCCATTCTCCTCTGGGGATTATTTTGTGCGTGGCATATGGGTCTGGGACTCACTCTGCTGTTGGCCATGTGGGATCCAGTGCCTTAACCACCACACCACCTGCTGATCTGTGAAACCCTGTCTTTAAAAAAGAAAAAAAATCATGAAGAGAAGAAAGTTTTTTGTAGGCGTTTATAATGCCTGTAAAAGGTTTTGCTTTAGTAGCAGCTAAAAATATATTGCTGACTGGTTGTCTAGCTAGCAGTACTGAAGTCTTGATGTGTTCTTTTCAGGTGCACTGTATTAGCACGGAGTTCACTATGAGGAAACACGGTGGAGAAAAGGGGGTACCTTTCAGAGTACAAATTGATACCTTCAAGGAGAATGAGAATGGGGAGTATACTGAGCACTTACACTCAGCCAGCTGCCAGATCAAAGTCTTCAAGGTATTCCTGGACAATGTATTTGCCCTTGGATCCTTTGCTCTTATCTTTCTATTTTAACATTAGTCTCCAATTCACAAAATCAGCTTGGCTTTTTCAAAAACTGAAAACTCAATGTAGGCTAGGGTGACTGAAATGATTACTGAGATGCCTGGTAAATAAATGTATATGGGATGGGCATGAGATAATGGAAACTTGGTAAAAAGGACTGGAGGCAAAAACTTGAATTCTCACTGAAAGCTCTTAAAGCCTTTTGAAGTACAAGTTCTTATAAAGCTCACAAAAATTATGGAAAGTTGACTCTTTGGGTTACATTTTTTTTTTTTTTTTGGAGAGATTTTCACTGTAGGGCGTGTGCGCTCGCCAGACAGACAGAGAGAGACATAGAGACAGAAAGCGAGAAATCACCCCCCAGGGGGGATGGTCACGCCGCAATCCCTTCTCCTCCCTTCTCCTCTCGGGATCTTGGGCACGCACGCACACGCGCCTGGCGTGAGTTTTAAGCCACCGGGTCCGGGACACGAACCGCGGTCGACTACGTGGGAGTCCAGCGGCATAGCCATTGCGCTAACTGCTGGTTCCCTCTTTGGGTTACATTTGTACTCCATCTTTTTTCCATACATTGGTCTTTATCTTTGTCACGTGGATAAATATGTTTTTATTGCAATACAGAAGTATTCAGAGTACACTGAAATCCCCTTTTACCATTCTTACCCTATATCCCAACCGCTCCCCATAGGTAACCACTGTTTTCATTTTTTATGTATCCTTCTAGCTCCTTTCTTTGACTTTATACACACGTGTATATAGATTAATCCTTTTCTTCGAAACATAAATGGGATTATACTGTATTTAAAAAAATTTTTTTTAATTTCTTATTTTTGCCATTAGGGTATGTGCACTCTCTGGAGACAGAGAGACAGCAAGAAAGAAAGGGAGAATCACCTCCCAGGGGGAATGGCCAAATCGCAATCCTTCTCCTTCATTCTTAGGATTTGGGGCATGCACATACATGTGCCCAGCATGAGTTTCAAGCCACTGGGTCCAGAGCTTGAACAGAGGTCAGCCAGTTGGGACTCCAGAGCCTTAACTACCATGCCACTTCCTGGGTCCTGTATGAAATGTTTTAAGACTTGCCTTTTTTCAGTTTACTATTGCTTTAGAGATCATTCCATATCAGTAGCTATAGGTCCGTCTTACCTTTTCCAGCTCAGACTTAGATGGGTGATGCATCTTATCTTTATATTGTTGTACAAACATCTTTTTTTTTCCTGTGTACATACATCTTTATATCATAAGTGAATATTTAAATTTCTAGAAGTAATATTTTTGGACCAAAGGGTGAGCCTTTGAGTTTAAACCAAAATGTTTTTCATTTCAGCCTAAAGGTGCAGATAGAAAGCAAAAAACAGATAGAGAGAAAATGGAGAAACGAACACCTCATGAAAAGGAGAAATACCAACCTTCCTATGAGACAACGATACTCACAGAGGTAAAAAGATTTATTGTGGTGACAGTTTCAGGCCATAATTTTCACCTTTAAGGGATAAATCTATCACTTTTAGCATGGTCAAAATTTATTTCTCCTGAGCATATTCTTTATTATTTATGGGTACCTCAGTAATTAAGATTTACCAGTCAGGGTATATTATTGAAGTAATGATGTTTAGTGGAACGCTGAGGTCAAATGTATTTATTTATTTATTTTTAAATTTTTTATTGAGAAGTGTTTGCTATAGGGTGCATGCGCTCGCCAAAAAGAGAGAGACAGAGAGACAGAAAGCAAGAAATCACTCCCCAGGGGGGATGGCCACACCGCAATCCCTTCTCCAGTCTCCTCTCAGGATCTTGGGTGCACACGCATATGCGCCTGGCATGAGCTTAAGCAACCAGATCCGGGATTTGGACCATGGTCGACTACATGGGAGTCCAGCAACATAGCCATTATGCTAACTGCTGGTCCCCAATGTATTTTTTTAAATGATCTATGTTACTGTTTGTTTTTAGTGTTCTCCATGGCCTGAGATCACGTACGTCAATAATTCCCCATCACCTGGCTTCAACAGTTCCCATAGCAGTTTTTCTCTTGGGGAAGGGTAAGTCTGGAAAATGAAATTGGCCTGTTAATTGTCTCCAGTACATAATATCTCAGTACCTTCCTATAACAAAATCTTAACAAATCAATAATTCTATTTGGACAGTCTTTTGTAGATTTATGTATTAACTGAGCTTTGGATTATTTTAAGAAGTGACTTAGAATTTTTTTGCTTTTTAGAGGTTTTTACCTAAGGGTGCATGTACTCGCCAGAAAGAGAGAGACAGAGACACTGAAAGGGAAAGAAAAAAGGAAAGAGAAATCATGCTGCTCCCCCCTCCTGCCCCCGCCATGGGGATGGCCACACCACAGTCCCTTCTCCTACTGGGATCTTGGGCACGCACACAGACATGCCCAATGTGTTTCAAGCCCCTGGGTCCAGAACTCAAACTGTGATTGGCCATGTGGGAGTCCAGCGACATAACTGCTATACCAGCTGCTGGCCCCAGTGATTTAGAGTTTTTCATTTGCTATAAGGCACGTACGCTTGACAGAAAGAGAGAGACAGGAAGGGAGAAGTCCCCCCCCAGAGGGGATGGCCAAGCTGCAATCCCTTCTCCTCCATTCTCCTCTCAGGATCTTAGGCACACACACACACACGTCTGGCGTGAGTTTAAGCCACTAGGTCTGGAACTCAAACCACAGTCAACTACATGGGAGTCCAGCAGCATAGTCATTGCACCATCTGCTGGTCCTGTAGTCATTATGCCATCTGCTGGTCTAAAGACTTAGAATTTTATGTAGCCCTTTCCCTCCACCTCTTCTTGCTCTTCTTTTTTTTTTTTTTTTAAAGAATTATTTAATTAATTATTTAATTTTATCTATTTATTTAAATATTTGTTTATTTTAATTTGACAAGAGAGGAACAGTGTGAGAGAGATAGCAAGCCGCCAAGTCCAGGACGCGAACCATGGTCAACCACACGGGAGTCCAGCGCCCCTAGCCACCAAGCCTCCTGCTGGCTCCATTCTTGCTCTTCTTCCCCTCTCCATTAGAAAATAGCATTTACATGACCAGCAGGTAGTGTGGAGATTAAAGCACTGGATCTCCCATGGCCTTCTATGTGGTTTGGGTCCTGGACCTGGTGGCTTGAAAACATGCCACGTGTGTACATATCTGCCCAAAGTTCCAAGAGAAGAATGGAAAATAAAGGACTGCAATGTGACCATCCCCCCTGGGGGCTGATTTCTTACTTTTCCTCTCTCCTTTTCTGTCTCTCTGAGGCAAGCATGTGCACCATATAGCAAAAAACAACCAACCAAAAAAAAAACAAAAACAAAAAACAAGAGAAAATAATATTTATGGTTAGGCCAGCCCTGTACTTCAATAGTGGTTAAAGGATCCCAAACCCATCGGGATGACTGCATGTTGAATCCTGGCACTGGTGGCTTGAAAAATACACCGGGGAAACCAGCTGATGGCGTAGCAGTTATGTCGCTGGATTCCTACATGGCTGACCGTGGTTTGAGTCCTAGACCTGATATGGCTTGTTTGCTCAGTTTCCCTCTCTCTCTTTTTCTGTCTCTCACTAATCAAGCTGGAAAATGATAATAATAATAAAAAAATTAAATTAAATAATCCTTTTTTTGAGAGAGAATAAAATAATTCTTTTTAAAAAAAAGAAGAAGAAGGAAAAACACACTGGGTACAGGTACGAAGTCCCAACAGGATGGAGAAATGGAAAAGGGATTGTGGCATGACCACAACCCATTGGGGGGGAGGTGCTTTCTTCCTCTCTTTGTCTCTCTATGTCTCTAGTGAGTACATGTGTCTTCTGGCAATTAAAAAAAGGAGAGGGACCAGCAGTTAGCATAATGGCTGTGTCGCTGGACTCCCACGTAGTCGACCGCGGTTCAAGTCCTGGACCCGGTGGCTTAAACTCACGCCGGGCGCATGTGCATGCGTGCCCAAGATCCCAAGAGGAGAATGGAAGAGAAGGGATTGTGGCGTGGCCATCCCCCCTGGGGGCGATTTCTCGCTTTCTTGTCTCTCTGTCTCTCTCTGTCTGTCTGGCGAGCACACATACCCTATAGCAAAAACCTCTCCAAAAAAAAAAAAAAAGGAGAAGAAAAGAAAATCACATCTATGGTCAATTTTCAGTGAGTCAAGGACTGATTATCTGGACTTTGTTTTTCTCTATAGTGGCTTATCTTAGGGTTATTTTATTTTTAAAGAATTATTTTATTTCTCTTTATTTATTTATATATTTTAATTTCACCAAAGAGGGACACAGTGAGAGTGAGAGGGAGAGAGGGAGAGAGAGTGAGGGAGAAAGCAAGACATTAGGTCTGGGACTTGAAATTGTGGTCAACCATGTGGGAGTCCAACAACTTTAACCACCACACCACCTGCTGACTCCATCATCTTAGGGTTATTTCAATTCCTTTTCAGACTTATACCGGAGAGTGGGTATGAGAATTGGAAACATGGTTGTACAGTCACTAAAACTCTTGTTTTGTTACTTGTTAAGAAAGTTCCTAACACCTGATTATTACAGATTTTTGATTAATTAGTAAAAGAAACTTGAAGAGGAGCTCTAAAATGAAGTTTCAGAAGTATCTATGGGATGCATTTAATCTTACCTTATTGTCCTTTACCATCAGAAATAACTGAAAGTTGGGGGACCAGCAGGTGGCATGGTGGTTAAGGTGTTGGAAACTCCCACATGGCCAACCATGGGTTGAGTCCCAGATCTAGTGGCTTACTTTCTCACTTTCCCACTTTCTCTTTCTTCCCTGCGTGTCTTTCTCTGGTCAAATTAAAATAAATGAACGAATAATTAAATAATTAATTCTTTTTTTTTTTTTGGAGAGGTTTTCGCTATAGGGCGCGTGTGCTCGCCAGACAGACAGAGAGAGACAGAGAGACAGAAAGCGAGAAATCACCCCCCAGGGAGGATGGTCATGCCACAATCCATTCTCCTCCATTCTCCTCTCGGGATCTTGGGCACGCACGCACACGCGCCCGGCATGAGTTTTAAGCCACTGGGTCCGAGACACGAACCGCGGTCGACTACGTGGGAGTCCAGCGACATAGCCATTATGCTAACTGCTGGTTCCCTTTTTTTTTTTTTAAGTAATAATTGAAAGTTCCTACAGACACCTACTCCAGTAGCTGTCATATGATCCTAGCATTTAACATGTATCCCATGTAACCATATTGAAAACTTGAAATAGTCTACCAAATGTGTGAGAATATTATTTGGTTGTAATGTTTTTTGGATTTAATTAGGCTCTATGTTTGACCTGTCTCTTAAAGATTTTAATTAAGATAGCTTAAATATTCAGAATATAACAGTTACAAATGAAAATAGGTATTGGTTGTAGGAGTGCATATAAACTAGGACCCTGAGTTAAGTTAGTAATGAGCTAAGTTTGAATACCAAATTTGAATTTTGCAGCTAAGACTTAAGGAAAAAAAATTTTTTTTTTTTTTTGGAGAGGTTTTTTTTTTTTTTTTTTGCTATAGAGTGCATGCGCTCGCCAGACAGAGAGACAGAAAGCGAGAAATCACCCCCCAGGGGTATGGTCACGCCGCAATCCCTTCTCCATTCTCCTCTCGGGATCTTGGGCATGCACACACACGTGCCCGGCGTGAGTTTTAAGTCACCGGGTCCAGGATGCGAACCGCGGTCGACTACGTGGGAGTCCAGCGACATAGCCATTACGCTAACTGCTGGTTCCCAAGGAAAAAATATTTTTTAAAGAAAAAAAATCTTACCATCCATACAGATTCAGCCTACTTATAGGCAATTTTAATATTATATAGGTTTTAAGGAGTGTTTTTTGGTTTTTAGTTTTTGCTGTGGGGCACATGTGCTTGGGAGTGGTGGTGGCAGCCATCACCCCCCCAGGGGATGGCCACACCAGAGTCCCTTCTCCTTCAGTCTTCTCTTGGCATTTTTTGGGCATGCATGCACACAAACCCGGTGCGATTTTCAAGCCTGGGTCTGGAACTTGATCCATAGAATCGACCATGTAGGATCCTGCATTTTAACCTTCGTATCTCCTGCTGGCCCCTAAAAAGTGTTTTGTTTTGTTCTTAAGAATTATTTCTGGGACCAGAAGTTGGAGTAATGGCTATGTTGCTAGACTCCCATGTAGTCGACCATGGGTCAAGTCCCGGACCCAGTGACTCAAACTCACGTTGGGCGCATGTGCGTGCGTGCCCAAGATCCTGAGAGGAGGATGGTGGAGAAGGGATTGCGGCGTGGCTATCCCCCTGGGGGGTGATTTCTCACTTTCTCTCTTTCTCTATTCCTGGCGAGCACACACACCCTATAGCAAAAACCTATTAAAAAAGAAAAAAGAAATAATCAAGTCCTGTGGTCAGCAGGTGTCATGGTGGTTAAGGCTTTGCACTCCCACATGGTCTACCATGATTCAAGTTCTGGACCTCGGGGCTTGCTTTGTCACTTTTTCTCTCTCTGTTTCTTTTTCTCTGGTGAGTATGTGTTCCCTACAACAAATTTTAAAATAAAAAAAATAATAATAAATAAAATTACAATAAATAATTTATTTTTAAAAAGAAATAATTAAGTGCTTTTATTGAAAAAGTATTTGATATTTGATCATATTTTATAGAGTTTATTCCAGTATTTTTCCTGCATATGTATATGTGCATATTTATACATTTTTTATTATTTAATTTTTTTTATCTTTTTTTTTTAATTTGCTACAGGGCACATGTACTCACCAGAGAGAGACAGAGGTGGGGGAGTGATATGAGAAAGCCAGTTTTCAGGTCCTGGACTTGAGCTGCAATTGGCCATGTGGGAGTACAACACCTTAACCATCATGCCACCTACTGGTCCCCATATTTATACATTTGATACAGTAATAATGTGTTGGTGTACATTTATATTGGTATTTTCCATTCTAACAAATTTCTTATTAAATCTTCTTTATGTCATAATTTATATCTTGTTAGTCCAATTTATTGAAATAGCATGGATTTTTTGTGTTTTTTTTTTTTTTTTTTGAGAGGTTTTTGCTACAGGGTGCGTGCGCTTGCCAGACAGAGAGAGACAGAGAGACAAAAAGCAAGAAATCACCTCCCAGGGGGGATGGCCACGCTGCAATCCCTTCTCCTCCATTCTCCTCTCGGGATCTTGGACACGCACGCACACGTGCCCAGCGTGAGTTTAAGCCACCGGGTCCGGGACTTGAACTGCGGTTGACTACGTGGGAATCCAGCGACATAGCCATTACACTAACTGCTGATCCCTATCGTGGGTTTCTTAAGAATTATTTTATTTAACTTTATTTATTTATTTATTTAATCTGACCAGAGAGAGATAGAGTGAGAGAGAGAGAGAGAGGTGGAGGGAGGGTGAGAAAGCAAGTCACCAGGTCCAGAACTGGACCCCACAGTTGGCCATGTCGGAGTCCAGCACTTTCAACCCCCCACGGTTGGCCATGTCGGAGTCCAGCACTTTCAACCACCACACCACCTGTTGGTTCCTGAAATATTGTGATGTTTTCCACTTTGTGCAATAATGAAAAAAAGTTGCAAATGACATAGTTTTTGCCCCTCTCTCATCAAGTTTTTAGTTTCAATTAATAGTTAAATGAAGTATTAGGCAAAGAATAAGAATGTTTCATGAAACAACATGTGTTCTTTTTTTTGAAAGGCTTTTGCTATAGGGCACGTGTGTTCACCAGAAAGACAGAGAGAGAGACACAGAGAGACAGAAAGCGAGAAATCACCCCCCGGGGGGGATGGCCATGCCGCAATCCCTTTTCCTCCATTCTCCTCTCAGGATCTTGGGCACGCATGTACACATGCCTAGCGTGAGTTTAAGCCCCTGGGTCTGGGGCTCAAACATCAGTAACTATATGGGAGTCCAGTGACATAGCCATTATGCCAACTGTTGGTCCCAAAAGAGCATGTGTTCTTTTAAATCTTCCCCTTAATGATATAATGAATCCTATATATGTTATAGACTCATCCTTTCATTTTAATCTTTCTTTAGAAATGGCTCACCAAATCACCAGCCAGAACCACCCCCTCCAGTCACAGATGTAAGTCCAAATGTCTGTTATTTGCAATGTCTAGTAATATATTACTTTCGGTATATATTAGCATACTATGTTCAGTAAAAGTGCTCAACTTTTAGGGAGTATTGGTCATTAATTCATTAAACATTTATTGAATTTTGACAATAAGCCAGATATCATGCTAGGGACTAGAGATATGAAACAGGCCCATAGCATTTGAGGAGTTTATAGTCTAGCGGGGAGGGTAAGGATGGGACTCTATGGGCATCTTGTACGAGCAGAGAAAGACAAGACTAATTTTGTGTAAACAACTACCAAGCTAGATCTTCCTGAGTGGGGGCGTTTGTGAATGTTCTTGGCTATATGTTACCTAAAATAGTAACAGGTAAATTTATGTAATTACCAAAAAAATGCTTTCTGCCTTTCAGAACCTTTTGCCAACAACCACACCTCAGGAAGCTCAGCAATGGTTGCATCGAAACCGTTTTTCTACATTCACAAGGCTCTTCACAAACTTCTCAGGTTAAATTTGCTTTTGCTTTTGTTTTCCCCAGCATGGGATATTCCTTTGGTTTCTAGGACCTCCTGGCATCCACATGAGATTTTTGTGTATGGGTGTGAGTTCTCACCACCTGCAACTCTGCTGTGAATGCTTAATAAAAACCTCTGCAGCACTGTGGTGGCATGAGCTACTAAGATGCTGCCATACCTGGCTCTTAGACATGGCCTTGCTATGTTGTTCAAGCCAGCCTCGAGTTCACAGTCCTCCTGCCTCAGCCTCCATGAATTGCTGGGATTATAGGTAATTAACATCATGGCCAGCTGTAGATTAGATCAGGAATCAAACTCAGTCCTCTCATCTAGTCCCAACCTGCAGAGCACGATTGTGGCCCTATAGTGCCAGCTAGGAGGGTGAAGCATGATGAGGATCATGACATGGCTAATTCTAATCTTAAAAAAAAAAAAACGTAAAGGCAAAATAAAACTACAGGGTCAGCAGGTGACATAGTGGTTAAGGATCCCACATGACTGATCGCATAGTTTGAATCTTGGACCCAGTGACTTGAGAACCATGCCAGGTGCTGTGCTTATGTGCCCAGAATCCTGAGAAGAGAATGTAAGAGAAAGGATTATGCCATGGCCATACCCCTAGGGGTGATCTCTCTCTCTCTCTCTCTCACTTACTCTCTCTGGTGATCACATGAGCTCTATAGCAAATTAAAAAGAAAAAGAAAACTCAAAAAAATAGTTATGATGCAGTAGGTAAGTGTATTTCGACAGAAGTATGTACAAAGTGAGATGTTCATGGGGCAAGTCTGGTGTTAGGGAACATGTGTGACACTTGAGATGAGTCTTGGATGAGGAAGAGTCTGTTGGTCAGATAGTGGAAGGATATTCCAGACCAGAAGGATGACTTGCTGCGTAGGCGTCATCAGTATGATGAAAACAGGCTTAAGTGGAAAAATTAATTGGTTGGGGATCGAGATGAAAGAGGAGGCAGGGTCATTCAGGAAGGGGCTTACATGCTACACAAAAGATTATGAATGGTGACATGCAATACGGTTTCCTTGTGAGAGTGCCTATTTTCATAATCATCAACAAAGTGGATCTTTGCCTTTATCACCCATTTTCTTTGATTTATTCCAGGGGCAGATTTATTGAAACTAACTAGAGATGATGTGATCCAAATCTGTGGCCCTGCAGATGGAATCAGACTTTTTAATGCATTGAAAGGCCGGTATGTAATTAGTGGTGAAATATTAGTGAGGTTGGATTTCAAATGAATTTGGATTCAGGGATTCTTCACGATACTCTGCATAGCTAAATACATCTTGTCAAAATATCTTTTTTTAATGCAAGCTATGTACCAAATAAAGCTGGAAAAAAAAAAAAAACCTTTTTAATACTTGATCCAAGTAATTCGCCATAATATCTCATTATTCATTTCCAGGTCATTTTTCACTCAATAAATATTTATTATCCTTTTCATGAGCCGGGTACTATTGTAGGCTCTGGGGCTATATTGGTGAGCAGAACAAAATACCCTTGTTATAAAGTTTATTTTCTAATGGGGAAAAAGATAAACAATAAATACTTTTGGATAATAATAACTATTTTGAAGGGAAACAAAACAAAAAGCAAAAACAAGGTTGTGGGCCATCCAGTATTCTGGAATATATCAGAGAAGACCTGTCTAAGGAGGGGATATTTAAACTGAATTGAGAAGGAAAAGGCTGTGGAGATGTGTGAGGCAAGAGCATTTTAGGCAGAAGGAATAACTGATGCAAAGGTCCAGAGTCAGCTTTAACTAGAGAAGAGGTCATTTCTTAAGTTTGGGTAGGAATTACCTAAGTGTCTGCTTATAAATGTCACTTGAAATATAGAGTAATTTGTAATCCTTTTTTGGCATTTACAATGTTTTGTTTTTTAAGGTTTTTGCTGTAGGGCACGTGAACTCGCCAGAAAGACAGAGACAGAGAGACAGAAAGCAAGAAAACACCCCCTGGGGGGACGGCCACACTGCAATCCCTTCTCCTCCATTCTCCTCTCGGAATCTTGGGCACGCACGCACATGCGCCTGGCATGAGTTTAAGCCACCAAGTCTGGGACTTGAACTGCGGTCAACTACATGGGAGTCCAGTGACATAGCCATTATGCCATCTACTGGTCCCGGCATTTACCATTTTAAATAGATAAGATAGTACAAGTTGAGCATTCCTAATCCAAAAATTCAAAATGTTGTACAAATAGAGCATTCCTAATCCAAAAATTCAAAATGTTTCTATAATGATAAACTTTTTGAGTGCTGACATGATGATACAAGTGGAAAATTTTACACCTGACCTCATGTCACAAGTTGTAGTCAAAATGCAGGCACATAACACAGTTTATTCATTGTCCTCAAGGAACCTCATGTAGATGGTATGTCCTAATATTTACTAATATTTACCGTAAAGTCCTTATGTATGAATCAGTGGGAGAAGATGATTGCTTATAGGTAGCATATAAATTCAGAGTCAGGTGTGCTGATGTCAAACAACCATAGAGTGTCCACATGGGTGGCTGAAAAAGTAGCACCTTTGCTTTCTGATAGTTCAGTGTACACATACTTAGTTTTGTGCAAAGAAATTATTTAAAACATTATATAAAATTACCTTTAGGCTATGTGTGTAAGGTGTAAATGAAACATAAATGAGTTTCATGTTCGGACTTGGAGGACTGTCCCCAAGATGTCTCATTTGTGTATGCAGGTATGTTGAAAAACTCAAAATCTGGAACACTTCTAGTCCCAGCCATTTTGGATAAGGGATACTCAAGCTATAGTGATATTGATAGACAAAAACATACAGGTACTGGCAAAAGAATCAAATCAAATACAACAGATTGTCAGTTATTTGTGTTTGTGTTTATCTCAAGGGATGTTGAATCAGATTAGTTGTAGTCTTGAAAAATTATAAGGAAAAAGGTCAAATTCAGGGTTGATAACTTGGGGGGAAAAAGGTTGGCCTTCTCATTTTTAAGTATACTATCTAAAGAGTGTTTAAAAATAGGAAGGAGGGGTCTGCAGATGGCATAGTCGTTAAGGCGCTGGACTCCTACATGACCAACTATGGTTTGAGTCTCAGACCTGGAGGCTTGCTTTCTCACTTTCTCTCTCTGGTCAAATTAAAAAATAATAATAATAATAATAATTAATTAAATTAAATAATTCTTTTAAAAATAGGAAGGAATAGGATGATCAGATCAACATGTAATTGAGTACCTTTGTCTAAGAAGTAAGAACAGAAAGAGCTTAAGCTGCTTAGGAGAAGATAATAAGAGAAATAAGATTCTCTGATTTACTATATATAATATATATTGGTGTTTTTAAGTAAAAGATATACTTCAGACTTGATCCATACAACAGTGGCTTTACACCAAAGGTCACAAACTCAAACTCAAATTACTACAGAGGCTACATCAGTCATGTAAATGAGTGACAGTCAAGTCATAGTGACGAATGTGTGCCCCATGTAAAGAAAATAGTTGATTGTTCTCATGTAAGAATGAGAGCCTCAGGTTGCTAGATCAGAGTTTTCAAGAAAAGTCAGAAGTTCAGAGGTTTATATGATGCCTCTTGTTGGAACTATGAATAATTCAGCTCTAAAAATAGGGGCCAGCAGGTGACGTGGTAGTTAAAGCACTGGACTCCCACATGGTCAACCACGGTTCAAATTCTGGACCTGGTAGCTTGCTTTCTCACTTTATCTTTCTCTCTTCCTCTGTCTCTCTGGTCAAAATTTAAAAATAAATAATAATAGCAAATAAAATTAATAATTAAATTAAAATTAGGGACCAGCAGGTGGGATGGTGGTTAAGGCTTTGGGCTCCCACATAGCTGACTACCATTCAAGTTCTAGACTTGGTAGCTTGAAAATCATGCCAGGCATGTGTGCATGCATGGCCAAAATCCTAAGAGGAGAATGGAGGAGAAGGGATTGTGGCATGGCCATCCCCCTCGGAGGGTGATTTCTTACTGTCTGTCTATCTGTCTCCAGCTAGTACACATACCCTATGGCACCAAAAAAATAAAATAACCTTAAAAACCCCACTACTGGAGAACTAATAAAACAACAAATGAATTGCATTCAGTCTATAAACTGTGGGTCTTTAACTTCTACTCTCTATGCTATTAATATAGAAACACAAATTCTCTCTTAAAATGTACTTACCATTAAAAAAAAAAAAAAAAAAGGAAGACTAATAGCCCTTCCTCCTCCCTTAGGATGGTGCGTCCAAGGTTAACCATTTATGTTTGTCAAGAATCATTGCAGTTGAGGGAGCAACAGCAGCAACAACAGCAGCAGCAGCAGAAGCATGAGGATGGAGACTCAAATGGTACTTTCTTCGGTAGGTCATTCTGAACAGACCAAGGCATTGACGGAAAAAGGTTACGAGATGACTGTGGGCATGCGTGATGGAAGTATATCACATTTAGCATTTGCCCAGATTTAGCATTTGTGAGAAATAATGATACTAACATCCGTTGAGCTCCTGATAGAGGCCAGGCTTATTCTCAACACTTTACATGCTTTAATTTTTACAACTTCTATCTCCTCTTTGCAGTAGATTTTATTGTTATCGCCAACATTTAGATGAGGAAAATGAGGCCTGGGAATGTTAAATAACTTTCATGTAGCTAAGCAATGGGCTGAGCCAAGAGTTGAACTCAGCCAGTCTGACTTCTTTGTGTTTGTGTGTGCATGTGTGGAGTGTATGTGCGGTATGCTTTTTTTAGACAGGGTCTCACTGTGTCATGATCTTTCTGCCTCAGTATCCCAAGTAGCTGGGACCACAGTCATGTGCCACCATGCCTGCGACTTCAGCCAGTCAAGTTTCTGAGTCCTTCAGAAAAGTGGGCATTTCTAGTGATGAGATTAACTGTAAGAGCAGAGAACCTGTCCTCACTGCCATCACTCGCTCTCTTTTGCAGTGTACCACGCTATCTATCTAGAAGAACTGACGGCTGTTGAATTGACAGAAAAAATCGCTCAGCTTTTCAGCATTTCCCCTCGCCAGATCAGCCAGATTTACAAGCAGGGGCCAACAGGAATCCATGTGCTCATCAGTGATGAGGTAGATTTTTTAAATACAGTTCAATTATCAGTGACAATTTTTTAGGACATGTAACAAAAACAAGAGCAGTTCCCCTAGGATAGAGCGCTCTGTTTTCTTGACTGGAGATTTCCAAATTTTTTTGCTTGTTTATCTCCTAAAATAATTTTTTGAAATCAAGTACTTCCTTGCACATTTAGGTTGATTTAACTTTTTCTTTTAAATATCTTTTCTCTGTCTTTCTTTTTGAGACAGGAAAAGGGGAGTGTGGGGGGGAAGCACCTCCCCCCATGGGGAATGGTCATACCACAATCCTTTCTCTTCCGTTTCTCCCCACTTTTGGGATTTTGGGCCTGCACACACAAGTGCCTGGTGTGTTTCTCAAGCTTCAAGTACAGTCGACCTCGGTTTGAGTCCCGAGACCCAGCGGCTTGAAACTCACTCTAGGTACATGTGCATACATGCCCAAAATCCAAGAGGAGAATGAAGGAGAAGGGACTGTGGTGTGGCCATCCCCCCTGGAGGTCGATTTCTTGCTTCCTGTCTCTTCGTTTCTCTCTCCCTGTGAGCTCACATGCCCTAATAGCATAAAATCTCTCTCTCTCAAAAAAAAGCAAACAAACAAACAAAAAAAAACTATGCTTTTCTTTTCTTAAATTGCTTGAGGGTGCATGCACTTACCAGAGAGAAACAGACAGGCACGCACGCACACACAGAGAAAGAACCCTCCAGTGAGGCATGGTCACTTTGCAATTACTTCTCCATTTTTGGATCCATCAGAGTTTTGGGCAGGCATGCACATGTGCCCAACTTTTTTTTTAAGTTGCTGGGGCCAAGATTCAAACCATGGTTGACTATGTGGGATCTGGGTCCCTTAACCACTATGCTTTGGGGCTGTCCTGTTTTTAAATTTTCATTGCCAGAAGGCATGTATGCTTTCCAGTGAGAGAAATAGAGACAAGGTACCCACCAATGGGGTATGATCACACCACAGTCCTTGTTCCTCTATTTCGCCATTTTGTCAGGGTTTGGGGCATGCATATATATGCACCCAGCATGTTTTTCAAACTGCCAGAAATTTGAACTGCAATCAACCATGTGGATCTGGCTTCTGAAACACAAGGTTTAACCACTGCGTTATAGGGCTGGCCCTATGCCTTAACAGAATTTTCTCTGTGAGTTTATTTAAACTCATATTTCCATTCATTTCTTCTATAGAATTTTATCTTACAATCATATCTTTATGCTTGAACATCTTTTGATTCCACTATATTTTTTTCTTTGAAACACAAATTGTTTTCAACCAGAAAATTTGTTTTGGGACCAGCAGATTGAGTAATGGTTACATCGCTGGAATCCCACACAGTCAACTGCTGTTTCAGTCCCAGACCTGGTGGTTTAAAACTCATGCCGGGCACATGTGCATGTGTTTCCAAGATCCCGAGAGGAGATTGGAGAAGGGATTACAGTGTGGCCATCCCCCTGGGGGGGGTGACTTTTCCCTTTCTGTCTCTCTGGCAAGCACACGTGCCCTATAGCAAAAACCTCTCTAAAGAAAAAAAATTTGTTTTAATAAAGAATTTTAAATTATTCTCAATAGAAGTATCATAATTATTTAATTGATAAAAGTAACATAAATATACTATGTCTTAATAAGTAAGTATAAGTATTGAACATTAAGAAGAGAATTATTAGACATACATCTGTTGGGCTAGCAGGTGGAATGGAAGTTAGAGTGGCTGGGTCCCACACATCCAACTGTGTGGTTTGAGTCCTGGGTCCTGGTTGCATGTGCGTGCCCAAAATCCTGAGAGGAGAATGGAGGAAAAGGGATTGCTACCATCTCCCCTTGGGGATGATTTCTCACTTTGTTTCTCTTTTTCTCTCTAGTGAGTACACATTCCCTATAGCAAAACACACACACACACACACACACACACACACACACACACACACAAAGGTACATCTATTAATGAGGCAGATGGAATGATTTCATTCTCTGTTTCCACCATCGTGCACAGTTAATTCATCTGTAGATGAATATTGTTTATTAATTGCTAGAATGACATATAGTTCAGTATCAATTCTATGTATTTTTTTCTCCCTAGATATAAGTGCAATAGAATTTGATTTACACAAGCTG